AGTGTTCCCCCAGACTAGGAGCTTCTCGGCGGCACAGGGATCCCAGTCCAAAGGACACGCTGTGCTCCTGGCACTGCTTTCATGATGGTATGAGGTCCCCCTGTCTCTCTGCTCACTTCTGTCTTTTATATCTCAAGACATTGCCTCAGGACACGATCCAATCTTGTAGACTGAGTCCTGCCTTACTAACACAACTGCTGCCCATCCTCCCTCATTAACATCATAGAGGCAGGATTTACAACAGAAGGAAAACCACACAGTACCAGGAATCATGGCCCAGCCAAACTGATACACACATTTTTTGGGGAATATAATTCAATCAATGACAGACCCTTTGTTCATTTTTAAATTTGGTTGCTTTTCTTTTTATTATTGAGTTACAAGAGTTCTTTATATATTCTAGACACAGACTTCTTGTCAGATATGATTTGCGGATTTTTTTTTTTTTACCATTCTGTAAGTTGTCTTTTCACTTTTTATACTGTCCTTTAAGCATAAACATTTTTAAAATTTTACTTTTAATGATGTCCAGTTTATCTAATTTTTTTTGTTATTGCTGTTGCTTGTGCTTTTGGGGTCATACCTAAGAAACCATTGCCTGGTTCAAGGCCATGAAGATTTACTCCTATGTTTTTTTTTAGTTTTGTAGTTTTGGCTGTTACATTTAAGCCTTTGATCTATTTTGAGTTAATTTTTGTGTATGTATGAGGTGAGTGTCCAACTTCCTTCTTTTGCATGTGGATATCCAGTTGTCCCAGCACCATTTGTTGAAAAGACTGTTCTTCCCTTATTTAATTGTCTTGGCATCCTTGCGGAATTTCAGTTGACCATAAAGGAGCCCTGGTTGCATGGTGGTTAAAGCACTCGGCTGCTAGCTGGAAGATCGGTGATTCAAACCCACCAGCCGCTCCATGGGAGAAAGATGTGGCAATCTGCTCCTGTATTGACCCTATTGACCGTAAACGTGAGGGTTTATTTTACACTCTTCAGTTATCTTCTGTTGATCGGCTGTCTTCTGTTGATCGGCTGTCTTCTGTTGATCGGCTGTCTTCTGTTGATCGGCTGTCTTCTGTTGATCGGCTGTCTTC